GGGGGGGAAGGAAAAAAAGAGGTTCAACGCTCGCCCCAACCACCCCTTGCCCCAATTCCAGCCCCGGCACGCATCCGCCGGGAAAGGGAAAGGCCACGTTCCTTCCCGGACCCCTGCTCGGAGGAAGCGCAGCCTGAAATATCACCTCTGCGAGGTGAAGACGCGACTCGACGCGATATTCGACGGGGAGGAGGGCGACGTCCCCTCGCCCAGCAAAAGCACAGAGACACGGGGACCACCGCGACAGGCGATTACAGCCTTCCTCACCGCCGGCAGACAAAATGTGGCATCGTTAAGAGATCCCTTCGGCGTTAAGAGGGGATTTTTCATGCCCCCGAAGCCTTCTGTGAGAAGCCCGCACCGGCATCTACGCATTACCAATGGATTCGAGCGGCCGCGGGCACCTCTCTGGTTTCCTGAAGCGCGTTAATCGTGCCCCGTCCTCTTTTCTAAGAGCACGACCTCTTCGTGCCACATCCCTACGCTCCTCCTTCAACCGGAGACCGTCAGGGCTGCAACAGCCGCGTCGCAGCCCCGTAGCTGTAACTAGTGATTTGGACGGTGAGATCTTCCCCGCTGCCTGTGGCGGGGAGAGGGGAAGAGCCGAGAGTCTGCTCGGCTGCCGGAGATCGAGCTTTTCCCTCCCCGGCGCCAGGAGAGGAGATGCAACTCTTTGTTTATATCAATATATATTGATCTTGGCACTTTAATACGGGCTGGAACGACTGCACAGAGCCCAGGGAGCCCCGTAATCGCCCACGCTCCTGAGACGGCTAATTTAGACGAGTGAATAACGAGCCGAAAGGCTGCCTGCGAGGAAGCACGCGCGGTACGTGAAATATCTTGCCCGATGGAGGAAAAGGAGACGGGACAGAGATTGCTTCGTCACGGGGTTTTTATTCCAGCGCAGGTAGAAGTTGGATGCGCGGGGAGACGGCCAGAAGAAAACCAACAGGCAGAGAGGGGATAACTGAAAAGAAGATGATATTGGTAAATATTAAATGCAAATGAGGATTGCCGCGCTCGTTTCCTTACGGAGCCCGGTCAGCCGGAGCTGTGACGGAGAAATGGGGTTCGTCTCGCCGCACTTGGCGTGACAGCAGCGATTTCGGAAGCGGGGAACGGTGTCACAGCAGGAGTTAGGAGCGACGGGAAGCGGGGAACGGTGTCACAGCAGGAGTGACGAGCAACAAGAAAGGTCCCAAACTGCTTTTTTCTCTCTGCTGGCTGCAGAGGGAGCCCAAATCCCAGGCTCAGGCGCAGGCGACTGTCACGTTCCTGGAGTTTGGGGACGTAAATCCCTCCCGGAGCTTTTAATTGCCTCCTAAATCCCCACGCCGCTCCTCGATAGCTCAATTTGCGCCCCGATAACCAACCATGCGGAGCCCTAAAACTTCCTTGTAACGTCCAGGTGAAGCCCTGCCAACAGGAGGATTGCACAGAGGAGGAAAACTCGGTGTTTATGGTAATACAGACCCGAAAAGAGTTTGGTTGTCCAACTTATTTCTCTCCCGCTGGCCTGATTTCGGCGTTTGGTGGGGGGAAAAAGAGGCAATCGGCCCCCAAAACAATAATCTGCGGTTGTTTTAACTGCAAATTAACGGAGGGCTCCTGGGCTGGGTGAGAAACGCACCAGGATTTGGCTTCGGCACCTAAAAAAGCTTCGTGAAATGGGTTTTAAAGTACGCGCTGAGGGGATGGAGAGGGACCACGGGACACGTTAAAAGCGGAGATCTCGTCTCCGGCTCCGATGTACGACCCTATAACCTTCCCTTACGCCGCCTGGAGGTCTTCGTCCCCCCAGAACCGAGGGGTGTTTTGAGGCACGGACGCTCGCCGATCCCCACGGGCAACCGCAAAACAACCTCGAGAAAGCTCCGCTGAGGAGAAGCGCCGCTTAAAATCTGCGCCGAATGCACAAGTAAAGAGCTAACGAAGCCGTCAGGAAGGACTAACGTGTTTTAAACAGCTCTAACGAACCCGATTATTGCTCCCTGCGGACTCGGCGTGGCTTAGAGCCTTCTACGGCTGCTCAGCAAGTCCTAAGTACCCTCAACAGCAGCTTCCAGTAAAGCACATCGCGTCAGCGGATCGCTGCGGAAATAACCGGGTGGTTTTATGTGTTTTAGCACCGTTGGTAAGAGATCACGGCATGGAAACAGCCGAAAAAAAAAAAATGACGTGACTACCTCCATCCCCAAAACCGCCGGGAAAAGGCACGGCAGGCTTCGTGCCGAGGTGGGTAACGTGCACCTGCGCAGGAAGGGGAGTGATTTAAAGCCCCAAAAAGTCGTCGTTGGGAGACTGTCCTGCCCTAACCGCTGCAGTCGTTGGGAGAAAAATAAAGCAGGGAGGGATTTGGTAGACCAAACTCTTCGCCGACGGTAGCCGGAGATACGAGAACGGCCCGGGGAACGGCTTTAAAAAGTAAAAAAACCAAATCCTGCCACGCTCCTCTCCATCGTCCTGGCCGGCAAGCTGCAACCGAAAAAATCCAGCCTCGAAACCCAACGGCAGCTTCTAAAATAAATAAAATACGTTCGCGTGACGAAGCCGGGTAAGGCGAGACGCTGTTTCACGTGCTCAACTTCACTGAAAGCTGCAGATCCACAGGAGAAGTCGTGTCATTGCGAAGCGTCGGCTCGTCGATTCGGGGCAAGAAGAGTCTGAAAAAGGTGGTTTGCGACTCACGGTTTGTGCTTCTCTCAGAAACGATCCAAGAAAGGGGTCCCCAAAATGCAGCAGGACGTCTGCCCGTGCCCTCGGCCGGCCACGAGTTTCTCCAGCAGCTTCGCTAACGCATCTGCGGGTGGAAAGGCTGCAAGATGGACGGACCCACGGCCGTCACCTCTCTTAACGAACCCCAGCTCATCAGAGGAGACCCCAACACCTCTTAACGAACCCTCATCTCATCGGAGAAGACCCGGGTCCCGCCCCGTTTTGCGCCAACACCCCGCCAAGAATGGAGGTTTTGGAGGAAACTGCGGCAGGGATGCAACGGTGCCGTGGCCGAGGCGCCGCCAGCTAAAGGGAGACGCCAAAAAACCCTGGAAAGGCCAAAAAGCCACCGGGAGACGCCAAAAAAAGGTCAACAAACATCTCCGAGTCCACAGATCCCATCCAGGCAGGATGGGCCTCCCTTATAGGGCTATACAGGGGACCTCCTGTACCCCCCTTGCTATAGCAGGGTGGATAGTGGGGGGGCTATATACCTCCCCAAGGTATGGCATGCCATGCCC